GGTCGGACCCGCCCTATGAAAACCCGACATCGGTCCGAATACTGCCTTCGGACAACACCCAGAAGTTGGCGGATTTTGTAACATTCTGGGTGTACTTCGGACTTTCCCTTCGGACAACCCCGGGAACAGCCCGGCCGTTCGGACTGAATTCGGGACCTCACTTTTTTAAACGGGTTTTCTTTTAAAAACGGTTGCGCAGGAGGGGGAGGGGGCTGTATACAATTCACTAATTATTTTACATAACATACAATCAATACAATATTTGCGTTACAGCTTTCCTGGCAATCGTTCACCAAAATCATTATTTTGTTTATTTAAGTAATATAGCTATGCTTTCCTGACACAATCTAAAGTAAAGTATATGTCACAGTTTTTGTTTGCGCATCATTTGTCACACAACAGTCAGTATACCGGAACACAGAAATATGGACGTAACACCTAACAAAAAGATTTTGGTTAAAGACATATGTTGTCATGCGAATGTTATTGGTCCGCGGGTACTACACTTGCAAGTGTGCAACTGCAAGTTAAATACTTTCAAGTGTGCAACTGCAAGTTGAATACTTGCAAGTGTTCAACTTGGTAGTTGTGCACTTGCAATTATACAACTACGGACTTGCACACTTGCAACTGTACAACTACGGACTTGCACACTTACAAGTGGTAAGCAGTTGAACACTTAGTATCAGCGCGCTTGTAGTGACTCGTGCAGGAGTCACTGTTCACTTCTACGCTGTGTGTTGCGGTTTTTGGCCAAAAGTTGAGGGCAGTCGAAGGCGGAAGGCCGTATTGGGCGTACTGCGCTGCGATACTCAAGGCGATGCAAGGTGACGGCGCAGTGGCCCGGAAACAGTGCCTTCCGGGTCCTGCCTGCTGGCCTGGGCCGGAGACGTCTTCGTCCTCCCTCACGGGAAACACGGATAGGACGGTGTTAGGACGACCTCAGGCGGTTTATTGGGGGGGGGGGCTAAGAGGCTGTCTATGGGGAATAGACAATTCGCTGTAGAAAAACAATAAGTAGGCAACCCACATCCCTTACGTGTCCTCACATCCTCTACAGCCGGACCCAACACCGCGCATGGACGAACAATCTCCACTGCTAAGATTTTACAAGGCATTGAGCATTGCTTTGTCACATTCAAAGGAAACGGAAGCATTGGAGCGATAAGGAATCATCCATAGATAGCATTTCCGTCATTCGTCGTGACAAACCTGCCAAGTTCAGCCGATGCGAGCTATGCGCCGCGAGCGCCTGATAGGTAGGCAATGATAACTGACCTGCATTGCATGCGTGTACTGCGGGTCGGCCGACCCTGGGTCTCGCAGGTGCCGAGATCCCGCAATTTGCCGAATAAAGCTGTATAAACGGTAATACTTTTTAGACGATCCCCAAGAAAGCAATGCTTTGAAGACTTTTAGCACCAGATTACCGTGGGTAATCTTTGTTGACTTTGAAATGAGTGGAGACAAATCAGTTTTGAACTTCAAACGCTAAATTTTTATGTTTTGACTCTCCTTAAGAGCATCTCTACTTGCTGCACTCCCCCACTCGGTATAGCAGGAACCTCCACCATCCCCTTTGTTCAAGGCTTCTCCCATCTCCAGGACGACGTCGCATCGACGTCAGTGATACGTCAAGATCGCAGTGGAGATGAGTCGGTCGATCCAATCCCAGCTGCCCCGCAGCAGTGGCGCCGTCCTGCTGCTGAGCTCCCAATCCCCTGCCTAGCCCTGCGCCGCTGCCCGCTCGCCCTGGGGTGGCGATGAGAAAAATGGAGGCTTCCTAGAGAAAATCGAGACGCAATAGGGGAAGGTTAAACGCGTGAGGGGTACCCCCTCGAATGGATTCCGAAGAGTCGCTATTTACTTTTCTTTTACCGCAGTGTTTTCACCTCCCGAGCAAAGCGAGCATAAGACCTCCATCACTCATTTTGTAAACAATCCGAGAATAACACCACTCTACAAAACGATGCAAGTAAAAATTTTAAATAAAAAAATTAAAAAGAGCAAAATAAATTATAGAAACATGGAGATAAGCGGTGTGGGGGCCCAAGCGCCGTGTGGGTAGGCAAAAACCTGGCATTGATATCCTGCGGGCCGGTATCTTCGCCGTCGGGGCCCGTAGCAAAGCATACGTAAAGTACATTTACAAACCGTGTTCTGATTTTATTGATTTGGTTTTGAGAGATTTTCCTGGGGCGTTTCTTTTTGTGAGTGCGGGGCGCTGGGCTGTGTGTAGCACATCACGTGGTGTCAGGCCAATGGGACGATCCGTCTCCGGGAGGGTGTGGGGTGAGAGGTAAAGGGGGCCTGCTTAAGTTACGACCAATTCCCTAAATCGAGTGGAGCTAGGAAGCCAGCGTGGCAGGCGCAATAGTGGGACGAAGCCGATGCAGAATTCAGAAACACTTTTCTTTCTCTTTCTTTTATCCGTCCCTTGCTTTACTTTCTTCCCACCTTCTTTTCTTTCTCTACTGCTGCCGTTTGAGCTTCACTCTTTCCCCCATCATTTTACGTGGCCTAGTTCTCTTTCTTCTCCTTAGCCATCGTCCATTTCTCTTTTCTCTTCTCTCCCTGTCTCTCCCACCTACCGTGATAAATGGCGCTGCAGCACGCTTGCTCTCTCTCCCTCCCCCCCCACCCTTCCCTCTTTTCCTTTTTCCTTCTTTCCTTTTAGTCTCTCAGCTCAGCTCGTTCCCTGACGGCACTGCGACAAGCAGGTACCTCTGTAGGCCATCAATCGCTCGCTGCGCAGAGAGGACGATGTCGAAGAAGCGGTGATTTCCGATTTCATCCGTTTTCTCCTGCAAAATGTTCTTTGAGCGAAGTGCGGCCGCCAGCCAGGCGTGCGAACCCGATCCGTTGTGAAGAACACCAGCTTAGTTCAAAGTTCTTTCGCCTTTGCCTCTAAATGATTGTGAGAGAGAGGGAGGGGGAAGGGGTTGTGAGATATAGGGCACTGTTAAAACCTTAAGAAGCTAAATGTCAAATTCTTGGAAGGATTATGCTTTGTAACTACGCAGCATTGCTTCGCAATTGCGAATAATTTTGCATTTTGGTTCGTATGGTTAACTGTGGGGAGTGAGAGTGAAGAGGTGCTCTTTACGATTAAGGTTTTGCATGTTGTGCCTCGCCGTGCACTCCTTGGTGCGCAGGGCACGGCACTGGCTGGCCGAGGTGGCGGCAGGCGGTCTGCGGCCGGCGGCCCATGTGACCGACCCTGACCATCGTCACGGTCTGTGTGATAGCAGGAGGGGAGTCCCTGGCCCCGGCGGCCACCCAACTCGGCACGGCACGCCGCCGCACGCCCATCGGGGGGAGGGGGAGGGGGT